CAACAAGCATACCAGTGTAACTGTTCCATTTAGGATAGTTCATAGACGAAGAAAGCTTCAAGCTCTCATCTCTAGGGCAAGTGAGAGCGAATTGGCTCATAACCTGTTGAAGTCTAGCTATTCTATTATGAATATCCATTGTATATGTACACTTTTTCTTATGTTTGTTACTTAGTTAAAAACAACTTATACAACTCTTAATAACTAATGATTCTAAACACAGATAGGAGACAAAACCTCTCCTATTTATACACTCATGACGTCGGCTAATCTTTCCAGTTTTAGATTACTTGATGCCTTGTCATTACAAGGCTCTTTTCTAATGCCTTGTCTTTAATAAGCCTCTTTCTCTAATTTATTGATATTGACTTCGGCATCTTATCTCAACAAGCTAGATTACAACAAAATGTATGACATTCTGAAAGTTGTGTTTAACAAGATTTCAAAAGATAAACAAGAGATACTATCTACTACCTTTGAAATAATGGATCCTGAAGAGAAGCCAATTAACTGTTGACCCACAACCACTAGTTTTACTGGATGATTCAACAGTTAGAAATGAGTTTAGTATGAGCTGATACCATGCTCTGATAAACTAAGATGTTACTCTCAAGGAAAAAAAGATCCAGTAGTTATAGATCTACATTAAATGAAATCCGTATAATTCTGAGGCATTTGTTGAGATAAGATGCCGAAGTCAATAAGTATCAATAAATTAGAGAAAGAGGCTTATAAAAGACAAGGCATTAGAGAAGAGTCTTGTAATGACAAGGCATCCGATTAACGGCTTAGAATGACAAGGCATCAAGTAATCTAAAACTGGAAAGATTAGCCGACGTCATGAGTGTATAAATAGGAGAGGTTTTGTCTCCTATCTGTGTTTATAATTATTTGTTATTAAGAGTTGTATAAGTTGTTTTTTAAATAAGTAACAAGTATAATATAAAGTGAACAATATACAATGGATATTCATAACAGAATAGCTAGATTACAACAGCATTCAACTAGTTCAAAACAAGTAGATCGGCTGATAAGAAATGTATATAAATACAAAAATATAAACATTGGTATTAATAAAATTATATAAAAGATTTATCTTAAAACAAGAATCAAGTAGCAGAATGGAAGTATTCTAACATGAATACTGAAGCAATAATTAACGGAGTGAGACTATCTTTTATGTTTTCCCAGCATAGTAATCTTCAGAATTATTTTGCGGTTAGCCGTAAATAACGGAATTGGTCTGCACTTCTTGAGCGCAGTGCAATTCTTACAGTTTTGGGTTATTTGTTTTAGTATGATTAGGGTCTGCGGATAAAGAAAGTCATTTGAGCTTTGGTAGAGAGTATGTTTTAAGGCGCCGATCACTACAATCGCATCTAAAACTTTTTCATTATCGTGTAGAAACCACCTAATTACTTAGGCTGCACATAAAATAGTCACTTTAACTAATGATTTGCTCACATCTATCTGGTTCTTTTGACTTGATTGCAATTCTGAGTATGCTTGAAACTTCAGATTTTTCAAGCTTTTATCTACTGCATTTTGTTAATGGTAAGGAATGAGTAGTGACAGTTATTCATTCATGTGATGGGCATTTTCTGTTGTAGCCAAAACTAATCAAGAATCCAAAACTAGAGCCTAAGACTATGAGTCATTCCAGAACAGTTTATATAATCCAAGAGTGGTCCGATTAAGCATGGCAAATTCTGGAGACAGAAAAAACAAATATTGTGCTTAATTCCGGAGCGTGTATCTCAAAAAATACAGAAACACTTTACGCTTGATTCGAGGATATTTCAAGGTTCATTTTATTGCCATTAACTTACCACATGTAGGAGACATAATATAAGGCTCGATTTTTCTAAATTAAGCTAATGCCTGTGTTCTTGGAATCAGATACAAAGGTCAAAAGGAAACGTCTTTGTGCCAAAGCTGAAAATGATTAAGTTTCTCCAGAATTCTTTCTTTTTTGAAACAGCTGGGCAACTTACCACAAGATAAAATTAAAAAAAAAGCTTTGTGCGACATATTCCCTTAAACCTTGTGGTATTATTAAGGCTCTAATTCCTCTCTATTAAGAAAATTTGATCCAAATCTGTCTGCCCGCTCCTTTAATCTCGTGCAATATTTTCAAGTATTTTTTTTGGCTTTTTGCAGTTATACACTCAGGAAGATTGATAAAATGACCTGCAGCTCTTTATTTTTGGTTTTGCCCCTTTCTTCCCCTGGAATGTAGACGAATAATGCGCGAGCAGTATAAATAGGCAGAGGCGCCCAGCTTCTTGGACGAACGAACCCATTGTAGGGGCGGCTGCAGGTTGTTGTGCTCTTTGACGCCCATTCTTTTGCCAGACATACACCTCTCTCACCCCGCGAAAAGAAGTCCACGGCTCCCGAGCACAAACAATTCCAGTATCAAATGTTATAAACCATGTCCTCTCCACTATCCGACAATTCTAACTTTTCCCGCAAACTTTCAGCGGAACTCATTGATGTCAATAGCAATGGTAGCCACTTGCTCCCTCGGAAAAGGGCTAGAGCAGAAGCTGAGAAAGAGCAGAGTAGAGTAGAAAGAATTATCCGGAACAGAAAAGCAGCACATGCCTCTCGTGAAAAAAAGAGAAAGCATGTGGAGCAGTTGGAATCCTATGTCACGGTGTTGGAAGCCCACTTGAACCTATCCCTTGAAGCCAACAGAACACTACTTTCAAAATTAGCCGCTAACAACATTCCTTGTGACGGTGTTGATATCAAGAAGCTACAGGTCCCTAGACCCGATGGATTGTTGCTCTCAGACGAGGACAAGACATCTGCTTCTAATAATGTTGAAGTCTAGCTATTCTGTTATGAATATCCATTGTATATTGTTCACTTTATATTATACTTGATGCTTATTTATATATAACTAATATAACTAACCTACAAACTAATACTCTCAATCACAAATACAAGGGACAAACCTCTTGTATTTATACACTTATACCCTTTCCAGTTTTAGATTACTTAGATGCCTTATCATAACTAAGATGCCTTATCATGATAAGATTCTTATCTCTTATCTCTCGATCCTTATTGGCTTCGGCATCTTATCTCAACAGATAATAGCAACAGCACACCCTGTTCATATTGCTCCTCTTGTCTCTAGTTTCAACTTGTTTTAACGCTTTTGATTACTTTTCTACTATTAACCAAGGCTACTTAAAATTGTTTTACTTAGCTTATTCACAATTCATACCTACTTACTTATAATTTTTGTACATAGTCTTCTCAAGATATACAAGAGTGTACTCAATCCCTTCCTAATGTTGTGTGTTGTGGGTGTAAGTTTATATGTACGGTCTTTTGAAATGATCAATAAATTGTTGCTACCAAACCACAATCATTTCATGATTGTCTTGTGAAACAATTCTTTTATTAGAGTCAAAGCAAATGAGTTTTTGAACGTTCGAGTAAAAGATATAAATTTTGTAGCCCATTGGTAGCACCAATCATTGCATTTTTTTCCTGGTCTTGCATGGCATATATGAGGAAGAAAGCCTCTAGCTTTGATGAAAAGCATTTTACTATCACACTACGCCATCGGATAATCTTTAGAAAGACCTAGGATTAAAGTTTTTTTGGCTTTTAATTAACATTTCAGTGCTTCTGGGGCTTTTTTATTATTGCCGAACTAAACTTTGAGTACTTAAAGCTCAAAATATGCAAACAATAAATAAGCTAAAATAAACTATGCTTTTGGTGAATCACTCGATATAGGTGTCAATGCGCTCCTAAAAATGTTACAAAAATAGATAATATAATCCATAAGGCGTATTAATGTTTTGCGTTGATGGGTTCCTATTAAAGCCTGTTTTCTATCTATGATGTATAGATCTAATCTGACCAGCATCATCATCGTCATGTTAAGTAAATTTTTTACCACATCAAAGTTATTCATCAGTTCATAATCTCCATCTCTCTGATTGCTAGAAAAAGCTAATTTGGTTCATTGACCATCCACATGATTTGAAAACTAGTAGTTTCATATCCATTTTACAAATGATGAAAAAGTCTTTCAAAAAAATTCAATGCCTATCTCAAATTGCTCTGCTTTGCTATACAGACCTCAAAGGAAACACGTTAACCTTTTATCGCTCATTTCCTTAGATCTAAACAATGATAAGATCTACCAATAGTTCATTACGTTATTCTTTAAATACCCCTTTTATGGTGCCATAACATCTATCTTTGTAATAAGGTTCTCACAACTGCAGAGCTTGATATATCGAGTGAAAAGTCAGAGGATTTTGAGTTACACGTTAGCATATTAATGACTTCAAAAAAAAGGGAGTTCTATTGCTGGAGCACTTCATTTCCTTCAAAGAAACCACAAATTTATTTATTAAACCTACTTTATTTTCAAAAGATTACATTATTTCTTTGTGACACAGCTTTTACAAAGCATTCATCAATGATTTTATTTACAGAAAGTCAACAAACCTTTAACATATTCTGTAGCCACCATTTGAAAAAGATCTCAAACAATCGGCTGAATTATTTTGGTAGGAAAGCTTGTTTTATTTGGCACTGTGTAAGTTTTATAGCCCCAACTAAAAATTGAAAATTCAAATTTTCAGACCCTAAAACTTCCTGATCTTTTTAGCTAACTACTTGAGTTTGTACAAAGCAATTTTAAATGTTACGAGACGTTTGAATTATGCTTGTATGTTTTTCTTTTCTTTTGCAACAGTGCACCATTTTCCAGTTCAAGAGGAACAAGCAATCCAATAAGGAAAAAGTCTATCTGATTAAATCCATTAGCAGAATGTATAGAGTTAGAGCTTAAAAACTGTACTGCACTATAATTTTGCATTAATCATTGAGTATTGCTAACACCCTGACCGCCAGACAACCCATTATGTCATCTTAATAGCTATACAATACCTGATAACATTCAAATTAGTAACAGGATTGAAAATGATAGTTGATTTTAATACTTGAGATATATTTTGTTTTTAGTTACAGCGCCAATTTTTACTCGAATCAAGACCTAAATTTGGCTTGTTGAAAATCGGTCAAGAAACAAACTCTGCTGGTTCACACTGGATCAGAAATCAAGTTTTAGGTAGTTCAGATAATGGAGGTTAAGGTTGTAGGCAATAAAAGTAAGGTTTAAGTCACTTTTAGTATCAAAATTCAATAGCAAGTCCTTTTATAAACAAAACAACTTGCTATCATCAATTTAACCAGAGTTCCAAAAGCTGCATAAAGCAAGTTGTCAACCTACGTGTTACCCAGCTGCACAAAAATGAATAAAACTTTTTGTGGTCCTCACTCGCTTCCAATTGCCAAGTTAAGCATTTTTAACTCGCAGAAAAAAGTATAGTTCCTATTGTAATCTGTTTATTCTAAATTGAATATCCATTGTTTGTAATATATCTTAGTGCTTATGTTTGTTGCTTATTTATGTATAGCTAATATAACTAACTTACAAACTAATACTCTCAAACATAAATACAAAGGACAAACCTCTAAGTGTATAAATACTACACTTATTGGCTTCGGCGTCTCGCCTCAACACTTCTTTCCGGACTGATTAAATATTCAATAGAAATGTACATCATCAGAATCGTATAAAAGATGTATAACCCAACATTTGGATATGATTAGTTGAATAACTCCAAAAGCAGATCCACAAGCAGTCTTCAACTTTTTTGTGTATATTCAAGTCCACAGCTGACATAGTTGGCGCCACCTAAATGCTTATGTTGAGACAAGATGCCCAAGCTAAAAAGAAAGAGATAAGAGATAAGAACCTTATATTGACAAGGCATCAAAGTAATCTAAAACAGAAAAGGATAGCCGACGTCATGTTTGAGAGTATTAGTTTGTAGGTTAATTATATTAGTTATATATAAATAAGCAACAAACATAATGAAAGAGACATTACTAATGATGGATACTCAGTAAAGAATTAACAGACTTCAACAGGCTATGAGCCTTTTTGCTCTCACTTGTCCTAGAGATGAAAGCATGACTGTTTTTATCGATCAATTATCCCGAGTGGTATCATCATACACTCATGCTTGTTGCTGCTCAAGGCACCTTGATGCGTTCTTCATACCTGGAGATCTGCTGGTATCAGTCGCTAAATCAGCTAATGAGTCATGGTTCTGAACCTTCAGTTAATGTTGAAATTTGCGGTCCAAGTTGTGTTGATTAAGTATCAGTCTGAATTTGTGTTCGGATATGAGCTACTTCAGTTGATTAAGACCGATTGACGCTTCAGTGAGTAAGCCTCCCAATGAAAATACTTTAACATTGCTAGAAGATATCTGTGCTCACTTTCAAAACACGAAGGATAGTGTGCAAATCATGAGTTAACTCTATCTACGGATGTTCAGGTCTGAACAGGCATATGCCCGGGTGCTTGATGCTCCAAACCAAATATTTCGTTGTCAACAATTGAAAACACCTCGTAAGATCTCGTTCCTACTCGTGGTTTGGCGTTTCCTGCTATCTCCCGGAAGGCAACTGTCAACAGACTGAAGTGCTATAAGTGTCAGAAGATAGGTCATGTGGCCAAAGACTGTTCAGTGATCAATCGCAAGCCTGATGGTATTACAAGACTCACATTCAAGTTAAGGCCGAGAACTCAAAAGTCTCCTTACCTATTTACATTTCACAGGAATATTATTGGAAGGCCCCTTTTTCAGCAAAAATTGAAAAGTAGGTTATCCACTCATATTGCAACTATTTCAAGCATGCTCGAGTATGTTTATTTATTCCGCGGAGGTCATAAAAGATGCTATTGGAAAAGAATTCTCCAATTAGCTGAGATCCTTGAAATGGCAACAAAAGATTTCTTCCCTTCGTGTTCGACTTTCACTGATATTGTTTCTCTATACTCCGCACACCTATAGAGAAATAGGAGGCTTAGACATGAATACGACTTAATACCAACCGAATATTTACAGCAAACTTCGCATCTTACGAGTGAGGAGTATCCCCTTCCATTCAAACAGAAAACTGGTGTAAACTTAAATGATTCTCATCAGCTTATCCACAAGGTATAGATAACTTTGATGCCTAATAGTTATATGGATCTCGTTTCATGTTACAATCTTATAGGCCTGTGTCGAGAATCCCTGATTGCTGGAATTATTTCCATTTCGGCACAGGATTTTAACAGAAATCTCTTCAAGAGCCAGAATGTTAAGTGACCCAATTTTTATCGAGCTCTTTTACTGTAAGCAAGTAACAAATAAACTAGAAGCTCATCCACGGATGCTATATTTGGTTCTTGTGACTGGTCTTCACGGATATTACATGAGCAAACCTAGTTTGCTCTTACCGAACCGCAAGTTTTCTACGCAACTGTTTTCTTTTCCTATGAGTAACGTCAGCGGAGAATTTAAATTGCGCAAAGTCCAACTTATTTGACTAATAGCATAATCTCCATCTCTTTTTCAATTTTGTATCACCAATGATAAGAACGCCCAAATTACCCACTGTTTATTCAGCTTCAAATATGAAGCATGTAAGTGGACAATGGTATAGAGCTTGTTTGACAGACAGTTAAGGAAAGACAAAAGAGGAAGGCAAGTGTTGGAATCCAGTCGCTAACACTTTATTCTTGGGCCGAAGAAACCAGTACAGATAAAGTCAACTCAAAATGACTTTGCACCTGAATTGTTGCCCAGCTTGGATGCTAAACAAAACCATTATTACGGATCATGGCCTTTTAAATCATCTCAGAGTCAAAAACTCTTTTTTTTTAGGTGTCTGTATTTCGGTTAGCAAATTTATTAAAGTTAGAGCTACAAATAGATTCAATTAGGTTGCTTTGAAATAGCT